TGGTAATTGTAGTGCCTCAGTGGTTTATACTCTCTGAACTTAACTTTCAGTTACAGGGCAATGTCTTGGTGATTTTCAGAATTTTATCCTGGGATGGCGTCTTCAGAATCTGCTTTCTTCAGGTTTATACTGATTATTTGATCTAAAACACCAAAGAACTACATGATCCAGCATAAAATGTTGACTCTGGTAGTTAGCAATAATACTTTCGGCATCCCCACTATACCTGTCAGATTATCTGTCTCAGTATTCATTAGGTTATGACTGATGGGTTGCAGTCCTAAATCTCAGCCAGGGCATGTGTACACTGGCGTTTTACCTGTGAGTGAAACATACGTCAAACTCAGGTCAGCAGATACTTTTTTTTTTGCTTTGTTAGTGTATACAGTTCCAAAGTTTCCTTTGGCCTTTTTGTGTCATGTTTCTTTGGATGCAGTATGTCATAATTGGCATTCATCTGTGTTGCAGGCAAGCAGGTCAAATGCAGTATTTTGCATCAAACACATGCTTTTAAGCAATGCTGCGTTCAAACACAGAAGCTAGCATTAGACTCCCATGTATACAGGTTGCATATGCCCTACTCCAGGGTTTTTGTGTTAGTGGTAGTAAATCGTAGCTTGCAAAAAAAAAAAAAAAAAAAAACCCCTATAAGATATAATGTACTAGTATACATCGCATACCAGCACATTATGAAGGACTTTCCTCAAAACAAAACCCTTCAGTGGAGCGCTGTACACACCCCCCCCTGCAGAGGCTTCCATCTACATCCGGCCTTCCTTCTGGGTATGCAAGCTCCAGCCATCTGACTGGCTGAGCTGCGAGTCTCGGACCACGGCACAGCGCTCTGAAGGAATGGCACGGGTATGTCGTTCCTTCAGAGCCCATGAGCCAGCTGTCAAAGTGAATATCTCCTAAATGGTGCATGTTTAGGAAATATTCATTTTACCTACAGGTCTGCTTTATTATAAGCTTTGCCTGTAGTTAAGATAAAAAAGTGAGTTTACTTCCACTTTAAAGAATAAATTGGTAAAACTGAAGCTACTGGAGACCTATGTAACCTAGTATACCTAGTTGATGGTGGTAAATGTTAGCAGTGTGACAGTTCCTTCACTTTCTGTATCTGACTTTCTACTGAAGAGCCTATATCCTCCAACTAATGTTCCTCAGCTTTGTTTTCCATGGAAAATAGAAGTACATTTTTAATCAAATTAGAACTATAGGCAAAACATACGTTTTTCCCTTTTTGTATAGAGTAATTGAGGGTTGAAACCCCTCTGTTTTTGTGCCATTTGTGTCCTATTTGTGAGATTTACCTTCACTTTCTGTCCCATAGGTCACTAGAGCTAGTGTCTCCATTGAAAGATTTCCCCTTTCCTGGGGACAACCCAAAATTTGGGATTTTCTTTCACTTTCAATGATAATGGTAAACAAGACAAATAGAGAGGGTGAGTCTCCCTAATAGGGGTGCAGACCGCAATAAAAACCTAATAGGTGTTCTGTTCCCTCTCCACTCTATAAAAACTAAAGAAAAAGGAAAGTTTTACTCTTCGTTTTATGTATAGTTATATGGTTATATCAGTATAGGAATAGTTGAAAGTGAAATATCTGGAGAAATACAAAGTCCATTTTAGGGGCTGCTTCAGTGTCTCTGGCAATAAATCCTTTATTTTTGCCTTGGGAAGATTACAATGGGTAACATCATTTTTGCCTTTTTGTTTAAAAATAACTGGTTGCTAAGAGAAACACGCCTTTCTTATTTTTAACATGGCTAATAATCTTCATTTCTAAGAGAATACATTCTAGCACATTAGCTGTCGAACAACTGATAAGACATCTGGGGGTCAATTCACTGAGACAAATACTGCATGATTTTTTGTGTTAAAATAACTCAATCTGTATTTATCTCAAAAGTAGTCAATTCACTAAAAAAAGTGTTATTTACAGAATGCGTTAAATATTAATTTTGTGATAATTATCACTTAATTTTAGCTTTACTATTGGCATTTTCTTAGCATTTTTTTCATGTTAACTGCACCAGAAGAAGATAGTTCTGTAAATAAATGTACACAGAAATATGAAACTGTAAAATCATTCTAGTGTGGTTTCATTCACAGAATGATCTCCCACTTGTGAATTGTTACAATTTAATTCCTCAGCTCAGGACAGAAGATTTCCACACTGATACAATGTATACTTTTAATTTACTGGCAAGTTCAGAGATCCTCTCCTGTACATTGCTAAAATAACCACTGTTCACTGACAGGTGACAAATGACAAATGTGTGTTCTTCAGTGAATTGACTTTAAAAGAGAAGTTTAAGATTTGTTTTTTTTTTAATTATACTTACGTAGGTGCATGGCATTGGTCCAATGCTGCATCTGTCCCCTGTCTGGTTCTAAGGGTGGGAACTGAGCGATCAAGCAGCGCTAATCCCTCAGTTCTCCACTTTGCTCTGAGCATAAGGCCATTACTGTCAGTCTCTGGCTGTCTGCTCTGCCCATTAAGCACACACTGGCAAGCCAGGCTGTAGAGGGGACGGGAGCGGCTGGCTCAGGCTCTCGGCAGATTGAGCCAGGTGCTAGTCCAAGGATCTGGGTGGAGCCCGACTTTAAAGTTGGAATCTTTTCCCAGCCTGGACTGGGTGAGTGACATCAGCCGACAGTGTACTTTAGCCTGCTGTCAGCTGAAAATGGGTCACAGGAGTGTAGAACAAACTGCACACACGAGCCTTGGCTGCACTTTTTTTTTTTATGAGTTCTTGTTTGTTTTTTTTTGTGGTATTTATCGATATTTTACTTTGATGAATTGACTCTCATTATCTTATGCAATATTTTCGAAAATGAGTCGCGTGACCTTCATATCGAATGCGGAATCCTTTACTGAATTGAATCTAATACATAAAAATGTTTGTATGAAACAGCATCCAAAACTTATGCTACAAGGCTCAGCAGGCATCATCGAGATAGATATGTTGTACATGCTTTCAGTGGTACCTACAAGAAATATGAAGAAGTTTGTGCTGGGATGTTTTCTAGCAGTCTTAAAGGGATTGTCATGTGAGTACTACAGAGGCTGCCATTGCTGCATATATTGTATGTATACTTGTTCTGCGTCAATGGCATTTAAAGTGGAACTAAAGTAAAATACACCTGTTTCATTGTTCTGATGCCCGCAAAGCATCTTCTCACTCAGTTCCCTGTCTTTGGTAGTCTTGATGTCCCATCCGCTCACTGTATAATTTACAAAGGATTGCAAGAGGCAGGTAAATATTTGATTGCAGAAGAGAAGTTGAATTTCTTTTCTGAAATTTACTTTAAGCCAAAGTCTCTGTGACAGCCAGAAAATAGCATTTCAAAAGGAGGGGTAAAGTTAATCTTATCTGGATTGCTTTGTTGGGGGTTTCCTGCTCAGAATTGTAGGCTAGTTTAGGACTTTCTATATTGAAACGTCTTGTGCTTCTGGCTTGTGTTTGTGAAGGATCTGGAATGTGACTTTCTCCATGAGGGAGCACTAGAGCAGTCAGCAAAAGCTGTCACATCAGAAGAATCCATAGGTGTGTGTAAGATAAGAGATAAGGGACCAGTAGCTTGCCCAGGGAGGCTTCTTTTGCACCTGTCAACAGAATAGAGCTGCAGGGAAGTGAAGGGTTACTTCAGAATGAAGCCTTTTGCTCAGAAGCATGATAGATGCCAAGCAGAGATCCTCTTTGAACCTGGTTTACTAGTTTGTGTTAGTGCACTTTGCACATCGTTCATGATGCTGTTTGCAGTTTTACTAGATAAGCCCTTTCATTAGTTTTGTCCGCCATGCTGGATTCTAGCCTTTTTTCTGTAGTAGAATATAAAAGCCAGAATCTAATTGGTTAATATGATTCTCTCTTAAATGTAAGCATTAGTTTATCATGCATCTCAGTCTAAATTGATTTAAAACTAGGTAAGAACACATCTACTGGGTATCTACAGGTCCAAGAATGCACCATTTGCAGTTAGTACAGACCAGCTGTTTCAGCCCCTCTCATTTTTACAGGCAGTGTTTTGATATTTGTTCTTCCTGCACACAAAGCAGTGTGGTATTACCTTGCTCAGGATGAAGTGACAGTGTCTCTGTAGAGGCCCCCCTCGAACCTCCTTATACTCACCTTACCTGTTCTTCCTTGCTGCTCCTTTCTGTCTGACATTTACACTGCTTGGCCCCTTTCAATATGGAATAGCAAGTGACTTGCTCTAGCAGATAATTGCTAAGCCTGAGCAATATTAAAATGTATATAATTTTCTTAGTTTTTGATGGAAATTTAGCACTAATGGCTTTTTACTTATTGTAGCTTCTACGACCCTAACATGAAAACTTGTTAAAGACCAAAGAAAAAAAAAAAATACTTTCCTGCTAAACCGTATTCCCTTCCATGAATTAACAGAACCTTACTGCTGGTTAATACTGATATTTTTCTAATTATTGAGATTGAAAGAATGAGTGGAGTTTTGCTTTATTATAATCCCATGACCTCTCCCTATTGTCCTCTGCACTTTTTTAACCTACCTTTTATAGAGATGAAAATTGCAGAGTATGTTAGGACTATCATGACAAACAGACTGCTTGTAAATGGTATGCAAGCTATATGCAGGATTTTGGAGAAGCAGTAAGCCAACTACAGGAGCAGGGGAGTTGGGATCGCTTGATGGTTGTAGTTATGATTTTTTTTTGTTTTTATTTATTTGCACCTTTAGAAAATAAGCACTTATGAAAACATCCATTAGTAAATTGAATAATTGTTCATGTGATCAACAATTTCTATCTGACACATACTCTATGGCTATAAAGTAAGCAATCAGTAGCATTGATAGTGATTTGGAATAAATGGCAAGTACTCAAACATCAGTCATTAAAGACTTATAACGCTGTGTAAATGGGGATTGAAAAGAATTAGAATCACACAAGTATTGTCTTGTTCTTGTTTTAGTGGGGTTTTTTTTTTTGAAAACTTGTGTTTTTCTTGTTTTCAGACACTTAAATATTCATCAAAGGGACACCCAAGCAGTGGTGATCACCGTCATGACAAAATGCGAGACTCTGCAGATCCATCTCCCCCAAACAAGATGCGAAGATCAGACAGCCCTGAAAAATATGCTGACAGTGCTGGACATGGGAAGGCCAAGAGTATGCACATTCACAGGGTTCGAGAGAGAGATGGAGGTAGGTTCCATTTTTTCACACTTTGAATAAATAAAAAATCTTCACCCAAAATGGGTAATTTCAAAATAGTTTAGGAAACTTTTTTAAGGTTAAAGCGGAACTCTAGGATTTTTTTCTATACTTACATTGGTCCAGCTTGGCTCATTGTAAGTCCCCTTACAGTGTGTAATATTGAGAGGGCTGCTGGGAATGCTGAAAAACATTGTAGTAGTCTGTGCTGCATACAGTGCTAACCGTGATCCTCCGGATGCTGCCGCTGTGTCTTTCCTTCTGCACACCAAACAAAAGATCACAGCTCTTGCTGCATATGTAATGCAAACTACTACATAGATTTTTAGCATGCCAAGCGGACCTTTGGAGATCACTTATGGATACATTGGTCCAGCTTGGCTTGATGTAAGTGAGTGCAAAAAATGATTCCTAGAATTCTGCCTTAACTTTCTTTCAAGAAAAGAATCGACATATATCTTACAATGCCCTTTCCCAAAGACATTGGAAATGGGAGGGTCTCCCTTTATTATCACTTCAGTTATTGTGTTGTAATAAACTCGAGGATCATTTGCATTTCCTTCGCTGTGAATATTCAGTCTGTCAGCAAAAATCAAACTAACTGTGGATGTCTGAGAAAATTAGCGAGCCAATCTGCACAGTAGTAAGGTTTCTGGAGGAATGGTGAGAAGTCTCCACAATATAATTTCCAAATGCCTTGGCTCTTTAAGTCAGACACCTGCATTGAAGTACCAATAGCAGTCTGCAAGTACCTTTGAAATCTGAATTGCAGGTAAATTTAAAAGACACAACTAATGCAGTTTTTTATTAATAAATGTTTGTGAAGCAGAGTAGTTACTGGAATTGGATCTTGTATCAGCCTTTTGCATTCTCCTGTACAGCTGAGCGCAACTGGGAGAGAAAGAGAACAGGACAGGGATACAATCACTTGTGTTGCTCACATGCTAACAAAGTACATACCGTTTAAGGAGAAGTATAGCCTAAGCTGTTTGGCTATATTTCTGCTGTGGATCACGAGTGCAGTTTGATCTGCATTCCTTTTGACCTGTTTTCAGCTGACAGTGGGCTAAAGTCTGCTGTCGGCTGATGTCATTCAGCTAGCCTGGTTCGGGGAAGATCCCAGCTTTACAGTGGGGATCCAGCGTGATGCCTGCTCCTTGATTTACAAATTAATTATTGCCCAATATGTAGCAGTATAAAGAATTTTTTGATTATTCATACTGTGCCATATTTCTGTAGTATGTATACAGATGTGTGGATCTCTTTCTAGTAGCTTTCAGTATTTCACTACAGCCAGTCACTTTTGCTGAACAACTGCTGAGATAAAATCTTAGCCACAATTGAGTGCATTGTTTGCAACCAGTCAGACTTGACTTGAATTTCTGCTTCAGTAAGCAGGATGAGTATGCATGAGCCATGTGTCCTGTATTGAAATTTTGATCATAACCTTCTAAATGGACAACACGTCTGTTTTATGTACATCTGGTCATAAGGTTCGCTGTTCATCTAGTAAGTGTTAGATCTTATCCATGTTTGAGACTGTCTTTTGAAATACAAAGGCACATTTTGGAGCCCTTAAATTCCACATCAGCAGCAAAATAAAAAAACAAAATTGTACTGTGTTTAATATAAATGGGTTTCTGGGACCTCAGCTATAACATGGCAAAGAAAAAGGAGAACCTCTGATCCCCTTTCAGTCTTGATCGTGCCTTCCAACTACATGTGATCCACCTGGGTGACTTCACTGTCACAAACTCTACACCAATTTTATCAGCTTGAACTGAGGAAGTGGCAATTTAGAGTCTCAATACAATGTTTTACTAAAGCAGAAAACTCCTGCCTATCCTTTGAATGAGCATATCAAGCACCTCTGCCAATTGAACTACCTGAGGGCCCTTTTTGCACTGACTTTCTACAACTTCGTTCATCCACTTGAGAACCCCTACAGAGCTGCCAGGATGGTAATGCCTGAGGCAAAGAGAACGGGCATTCTGACCTTACATGTATACAGGTTTTATCCTCTCCGCACACTATGAAAATCATGTGTTCTCCCACAGCTGGGTGACCGACTGCAGCCTCAACAGTTGTAATTCCATTTTGACTTTTTTTTTTTTTTTTTTTTTTTTATTGTCGAAGCACTTTATCCTTAATCTACTATACTCTTAAGGGCCCTTCAGCCTCCCTCTTCTTTTTCGGTGGAAACTAAGCTTTACCAGAAACCCCTGGCCAGCTCATCCAGATCCTTTGGTCCGTGATCTACCACCACACTCCAGACCCTAATGCCTTTATTTCCTTTATGCCTTCTTCATGTCCATGCAGGTTGCGTTTGATACATTTTACGTTTTTTATTTTTCATACGCATTTTTGATGTATTAGTGTTTTTGATGCGGTTTATGGGTGGCGTCAGTCTTGTGGGAGAAACCAGCAGAAAGGCATAAAAATGCGAGCACTGCATTTTTGATGCATTTCCGCTATGTTTTCATTGAAGTCTATAGAACCAAAAATGCAACCTGCTGCAGGAAAAAAAGGTCCTGACCCTTTCCAAGAAACACAACACTGGAAAATGCACAGATGTGAACGTGACCCATATGAACAGCGGTGTATTTACCCTGAGGCAAACAAGGCGTTTTCCTAGGGCGGCAATTTTTAGGGGGGGTGGCACCACCCCCACCAGAAGAAGGGACCTGGTGAGCAGCGACGGACTGAGCTATGCAGGGTCGCTATCAGTGGGGTACCACTGGTAGTCCTGTAGGTGGCCCAGACAGCAGGGGGATTGGTGTAGTGGGGGAGAGCAGTTTGAGAACAATACCCTGTGTATCTCTCCCTCCAGCAGCTGAAAGCCGGTTTCTCTCCCTCTCGCCAGCTTTCTGCTGCTGGAGGGAGGGACAGACCTGGCCGGATTGAGGGGTGCCTTGGTTTACCTGAGTGGCCGCTGAGCTCCTTCTCCCACCCTCACTCAGAGCTTGGGACCAGGGGAAAGCCTGGAACAGGGAGAGAAGTGGTGGAGAGGAGAGGTGTTGTGTTCTCCAGGCTCTCCTTCTGTCGTCCATGTAGCACATGAGACAGGATCACTGATAAATCGTATGGGACCACACACACACTCGCTGAGCAGCCCTTGGAGGAGGTAGGGGGTGGTAATCATAATGTGTGTGCAGTCCCATACGATCTATCAGTGATCCTGTCTTGTGTGCTGCATGGACGACAGGAAGGAGAGCCCAGAGAACATAACACAGCTCACCACCTCCTGGCTCTTTCCTCTCCACTTTTTCTAAGAAGTGTAATGGGGACTGTGGGGGGTGGGCGTGGTATTTGCTGGGTGGATTGGAGGGAGAGAGGAAAAAAAAAACACGACAAAAAAATCCTTTAAACACACACACTCATTGAACGCTCTCGCTGTCTCATTGGGGGGGGCACAATTTTTGTGTTGCCTAGGGCAGCATAAAGCCTAAATACACCACTGCATAGGAAAACATGTTAAACGGACTGTAGTGCGTTACTGAAGAACTGAAAACACATAGGTGTGTGACCAGGCCTTAAGCAAAGTTCCCACTTGGTAAAAAAACCAACGCTGACTGTAATGACAACCAGTGCACACATAGCATTAATGCACGCTTTTGACACATTTAACATGAGCTTTATGCACGTTCAGATACGCACCCCAGATGCTCTCCAAGTGATTTTTTTTTTTTTCATCTCACTGATATTAAGTTAACACTTGTCAAGAGCACTAAAGATGCTACAGGTGCATTTATGGCATAGACTTGTTACTGTAGACTTGAATGAAAGGAGCTGGCAAGTGTCTACTCCTCCCAGGCTTGACATGCTGGCTGCCTTACTTAGTGTTGGAGGAGTTGCAAAAACGCCCCTCAAACGCCTGTTTCTAATGCCAGTGTGAACACGGCCTTAGACAGTGGATCTTCACTCTAGCCTCCCCTTTTAGGTTTCAATAAATGGAATGTAATTTTACTTTCCGTATTGAAAAGTTTTGTTAAAGCAGTATTAAACTCAAAAGGAAACATTTTTTATATTGCAGCTTACCAATTCTTAGTGTGTGTGTGTGTGTCATTAGTACAGTATTAGCACTGATCGCTGTATTGATGTCAGTGTTTAGTTGGTGTACATTACAGCCATTGTCAGCTAGTGCCAAATTTCCTGTCACATTATCACAGTCCCACTGTAAATCGCTGATCATCGCCATTACTAGTGTCATAGATGCATAAATTCGATTATATATTCCATAGTTTTGGGATTTATTTTTTCTAAAGACAAAATAGTTTGGCCTGGATTTATGAAAAAATTGTATTTAAGCTTATATACACATTGCTGTGCTTCATTTATTTGAATTATGAACAGACTTTTGATGCACACATTATTCAAGTGACGGAGCAGCTCATCTTGTGCAGACCTCTCTGTGTGTTCCTGTGATGAAGTACGCTGTCTGCTAATCTGCCTAACCTCTATTTGCATTACAACCTATGTGTACAGTTGGAGTAAACGCAGCACCTACGGTGAAAAAGTCTGCTTAAAAGCATTTACATGTGGCCTTAGTGTATAGAAATCCTGACAAATGGATTATAGAATTTGCAAAATAACCTTCCTTAAGCCTCTTGCAAATGGTACTGCTGTTAGAGCACCTGCTTTTTCGATGTAATTTCAGGCGTTTATTTTGTTAGTCTCGAGGGTTTATGCGCTTATTTTTGGCACACATTACTCACCAAAATGCTTATTTTTCCTGTGTTTTTATTTATTTTTTCTGTGGAATTCATAGCACTTGTTTATGTGCCTGTGTGCACTGGCACATTGTAAATAATGGGTTACATTTTGCCTCCCTAAAAAGAAAACCGCTGCACTGAACATTTTCAAGCTGCAGTGTGCAAGAGGCCTTACAAAGTAAATGGTTTCAAAATAAAAAGCATGTCTGACAGCTCACTTCCCTATCTCAGATTGTGTACTGGTTTCAATCGGAGAAGTCATTTGTAATGAAGCTGAAT